CCTTAAGGAGTATGGATATATTATTGTTGGATGATATGATTAGCAATACCTAAGTATTCATAAAACCTAACGTCACCTAGCTATTACAGGTTTATGTCAATAGCAAATATTGCAAGATAAGGAAGGAATCACAAGTATAGAAAAAGGCAGATAGTAGAGATACAAGAAAATTAATGAACATCATCCATCTTGATGTCCCTGTAGGCATGAACATCCAGGAAAACGCCCTATCTATATTTATTAGTGTAACTATCTGTTAACAATATATCGATGGATCATGTGGACACTTCAACAGAATTGATCAGTGATGCTGGTGTTAGACCATAGTATAGGTGACTACCTAGCTAAACGAGGTCTAAGATACCCCTGACGGTAAAACTGCACAACTTAATCTTCTATAGCTGGGTTTTGCTCGATAATTTCTATCTGGCTGTGATTAGAAACATACGCAACTGCAGCAGCTCCACGCGAATTTACTAACGTGATATCTGTTCTAACATCTCTGTGAAAGCTAACCTGAATAGAGAATCTCATGACTGACATGTGTGTGATTGCGAAGAGATGCTATCAGTTTATCTATAGGCGATAAAGACGTTATCGGAACGACTTCTTACCTTTTCTATCCATCTACTGGGCATGCGGGCCAATGGGCGGCCCTCTCCATAGGAATCGAATGCCTAATCTGGCTGGGTTAGGGTTGCAGTGAATCGGAACATCGTAGGGATACGAAGCTTAAATCAAGTTAAATCGTGGAAAAATACCATCCGGTGGGACATGATACCCAATTCTCCCATCTCCCGAAATTACCCCTGTTAATACGACGGTGGTTATATCACGGCCCACCTTCTAGAACCGGTTCGGGCGGCGGCTATTGTATGCGGTCGTGAGTGCGACTACAACTCCAACATGAGCTGTTTACCTAAATCAAAGGACCCATGGTATTAGCTAATTGAGGAAAGTCGCCTTGATAGCGGACAAGATCCAGAGTTTAGCCTATGGCTGCGCTGAAGTGTATAAAGCATGTCAATTACCCGGCGTGTTCGTGCTTTTAGGGTTTGCCGATCTTAAGCATTAATTTGGTCAGTAATAAATTACAGCATCTTAAGTTCAAGATGCTGTTAGCCGCACTCCTTATCTCGTTCCTGGCCTTCGCCGGGAATGCCTCCGCAGCAACGTGGTACTTCCTGCGGTACTACCCGGCGTCCGGGCAGAAATTCACGTCGTTCTCCGGCACGATGACGATCCCGGCTCTGCCGAAAGCCGGCGTGTATTACCTGTGGCCGGGACTCCAGCCCACCGACAATAGTGGCGTGTACCAAAACGTCCTGGACGGGCGAAGCGGGACCTGGTGGATTGGATCCGGGTGGTGCTGCTCGAACCCCAGCTTGCCGTGGGGGAGCGGGTTCAACACGTATGCCAACGAGAAGGTTACGTTCAATAATAGGATCGACGGCTCGTCTTGGAAGTCGACCCTGACCCGATCTACTGGCGAGACTGTAACGGATAGCTTCGCCTTGAGTACGTCCAAGGGCCTTGTTTAAAGTTGTCAATTGATGCGCCGACTCGGATCTTGAGAACTGATATATCCAATTATAGCTAGCAAGTCGTTCAACCAGGTGCTTTTCGCAATTGAGCTGTATGTATCTTAAACACCCGGTTGAAGCGGAAATGCGGAAGGCTGACGTATCACTAGCACCGATGTTAGCTGGGACTTTGGACCGCTCGCATTTTCAAACATCGTAATTGTGAGTAGCTATCTTCCCTCGATTTATATCCTCACTGTTGCGCGCTCCGCGCCACAAGCCTAAGTCGCTTTCGGAGCATCCAGGTATTCTTCGGATTCAATTATCGGACCACGAGTGCTGATCGTGAACATAGACAAGCACCGGCACGGATTCGAGCTGGTGCAACACAAAGCCCGAGAACTATAATAGTGCAACCACATATTCCATCAGCGGTCTAAGTGCGAGCGTGAGCGGCAACACAGTAACTTGCAAGATTGCTTCTGTGATTCTTCAGAAGCCAGCTTAGTTGGAGATCATAATTGAAGATTTAGAAGACATGAAATTATGGGATATCCGCATTAATTGCATAAATCCTTCTTTCACAAATGTTTATAATCGTAAACCGTAGAGATCTCAAATCCGTAGTGTCTATATTCATATCGCACTGCCAAGCTTCTCTGGTTGCTCTCCATCAACACGGCATCAAGACTGCTTCGGAAACTACTCTTTTGTGCACGATCCTAAACTTGCACGTCGGCATGCGAGTTTGCTATGCACATTTGGCGCTTCTAATATCACCTTAGGTGTGAACTATCCGGGTATCTCGCCATGCCACTGTCATATGAGCAATCTATAAATCGTCAGCACGATGGCACGAAGCATTTGGTCATCAACAATACGTTCTGCCGCCGCGTCTCAGCCCTCGCCTCTCTCAGAATTGCCCGCTTGTTCTGCAAGTATAAACCCACTGGACGGTGCCAACCTATCTCCAAGCAGCTCGTCGTCAAGACCGGGCTGTCTGTTCACCTGACCGAAGCTGCCACCATGGCATTCGTCACCAAGAACACGTCCATTCCAGTACCGCATATCCATTGCTCCTTCGTCTACAAGAACCAGGCCTATGTTATCATGGAGTACATCGAAGGGGAGCGCCTCTGTAATGTTTGGAAGGCATTGTCATATGCGGATCGAGAGAGCATTATTGCGCAACTTCGACGTATGCTCCTAGAGCTAAGGGCGGTTCCACCACCGCCTGGCACGGGAGTCGAGAGCTGCGCTCGTGGTTCACTACGCGACCCTCGCATGTATCGATCCTGTCCTAGGTTTGGACCGTTCAAGACGACCGAGGACTTTCATTCCTGGCTCCGCGGAGGACTTCAGCTGCACGACTTTCCTTACAGTATTAAAGACAAGCAGGACTGGAAGGACTTTCAAGAAATGGTGGCTATGCAAGACCGTCCCTGGTCACCTCCTGTCTTTACTCATGCAGACCTGAATCTAGCCAACATCCTCATCCGGGGTAACCAAGTCGTGAGTATCGTTGACTGGGAGTGTTCGGGTTGGTACCCTCCCTACTGGGAGTATACTTCGGCGTGCTACTTACCCTCGCAGGCCTGGCGAGACACCGTTCCAAAGTTTCTCGACCCGTACCCCGAGGAGTTGAAAATGGAGGCTACGCGGCAAAGATGGTGGGGCGAAATCTAGATGCTACACGCTGAAGTCATATGCAGTTCTCAGATAGCTAACAACAAGGCACACGTTTATTGGTGATCTAGAAGAATGAGAGGAGATCTAATGTGGGAGATGCCGAGGATGCAGAGGATAACACGCCGAACTATCTAGGGCACAGATCCCACATTATGATTAAGCACATCAGGTTGCAGAGTTTCCACAGAACCCCCCTTTCCTAGCTAGACACCTCGGCATTCTCGTGGCTCAGGAAGGGACTCAAGGTATAATCTCCTTCTTCCTCAGCATATCCCACATGGGCTTCGGCTTCGTCATATCCTGGCCCTCGTCGTAGCGGCCGGCCTTGATCTTGGCCTCGACGAAGCCCATGGCCTTGGGCTCGAGCTTGTCCCAGCGCGGGGCGGCGGTGCCGATGGGCCGGCCCTCGTCGCGCCACACGCGCGCCAGCACGTTGATGACCCACACGCGGCAGTTGAAGTTGCGGTTGCCCTGCGGCACCGCCTCGTTGCGGCAGATCCAGAACAGCCGCTCCTCGTCCGTGATCTTGGCCACCAGCACCCGCGCCAGCAGCCGCGTCGTGCACTGCACGTCCGCCAGCGCGTCCTCGGCCAGCGCCCACGTGCCGGCCGGCGTGTGCTTGATGTGGAACCGCTTGCCCGGGATCTGGCCGCTCTCGTTCTTCTTCTCGTGCTTGGGGCCGACGAGTAGGGCGAGGTGGTACCTGCAGGGAGGTGAGCTTGGGTGAGAGGATACGGAGTGGAAGGGGGAGGGGTTGACTTACTTGAGTTTCTCGCGGCCGCAATCAATCCCATTGGGGTAGAGCGCGAGGTAGAGTCGTTTCTTGTTGGAGACCATCTCGACAGCTAGCTAGGTGGACAGAGGATACGTTGGTCCTTGTCACGGGTGCTTCTGATAGGCCTAATGGTTTGTATGCAGCTGGGGACGTGGCTCAGAGTATTATGGCTAATCGATACAGATTGCACTCGAAATATGGAAATAGTAGCGTTGCCTATTTCTAAGGGCACCTGATTTATTTCCTTCTGAGTTTGGCGGTGTTGAAGGTGTTCTAGTTTCACAAACTTTTAGACGCTTAAGTCAGTCACCAGGGGGGAGAGAGCAAAGAAGAAGGTGACTAAGGTACAGTACCTGATACACCAAACAACTGCCGTCATAGAGATCCACACCACAATCGTCATATTTCCTGAGCTCGGCATAGCACTCATTGATGAATTCTGCCTGCTGTCAAGAGTGGAAGAAGTTAATGCAAAGAAAGACGAGAGTTATTGAAGTTGATAGGTTCTTGCTGTGGGAGATACCAATTTTTTGTGATAACCTAGCTTAGTGTCCCTGAGAATGAGAAGCCTCTTTATATTTGCATAAATCCCCCTTTCTTCCCTGTAGCAATTTTCTCTTGAACAAGCCTTGATACCATGTTCATTTGTAGTTGATGAGTGCCTTCAAGTTAGGTGCCTATTTCATTGAAAAGTGCTCGTACTCTATCGCCAGATGTATGTGCTTCTCTTCATCTCTTGTTCTTTTTGCTCAGTCTTATCTACTCGTAACTTCAAAATCCCGAAGGCTATCACTTTTACGTGGATAATGACAAAGGTCCACGGGGGTTGTAAATGATGGAAATGATACATTAGACTTCTGAGCTATCAGAAATGATACCTGCAACTACAGAATTAACATGAATACACTACCCATGTACTTTGAGTATTCCATGAGATATCATGCTATTCTACGCGTAGGAAAATATTCCCAGTTTGGGAAAATCCCTTACGAAGACAGGGTGCATTGGCAATGGGCCTCGTGGTGTAAGAGGGAACACACTTCTTCAGCACGTACTTCTGAACAAACAATTTAGATGAGAGCAAGGTTGAAAGGTCGTGGGTTCAAATCCCACCTGGGCTACAGCTTTTGCTTCTACTTCGTTCCTCGTATTCCTTTTCGATGTTGATTTTTACGTAGAAATACTGCGGGCGCAGGGGGACATCAAGTCCAGTTCTGGTCTTCGCTCACCTCCTTGCTCTTCGCTACGCATCATGGCCGGGTGCTAAGCGTGATTCATTTATCTGTGGTATTGCGTATGTGATATTGCCCAGCTTGAAACGTTGGATAGCATCTAGAGCACTTCAATTAGTCTCTCACTGAATCAATGCGGGAGAGTTGGAAAATGGAACTGGTAAATCTTGAATTTCTTCTAAACTCGGAAATGCGTTTGTGTTTGCTATATATTGTACCTGAGCTATCTAAGCGGAGGACATATGCTATGCTACTGATTGAGCCTCACTCTATTATAAGCAGAGTAGGATGGTGAACTGTCCCTTGCTAACTAAGGTAGGTACCTAGCCTTGGAACGTAGAGGCCTGCTATTGTTTACTTGGGTAGGATAAGGGGATACTTGGTTCGTCAATCGTATAATTACATTAGAAACACTTATGATGGATTAAAACCAGGCGTCGAATTACTGGGCCATACTCATCCTCTTACCTGCCGTTGGAAGTCTCTAAGCGCTCTCGGCTAGCAGGTGTTGGTTGGCCAGTAGGAAGAATTTGAGCGGCTGCAATAACGTGCAATCAATCGCATGGAGCCGCCCGCTTTTGTTGAAACTTGTCCAATATTTCTTCAGTCAAATAGAATTAAAACAGCTTGAATACACCAATAATGCAACTGGAAAAGAATGCTATTCAATTCTTTCTAAGAAATATTTGAATATTTCAATTTACCTAATAGTCTTACAGAGAGGGCGGAGGAAGTGCCGATCGGGAGTATTTGTACCGTCACTTGACTTGACTTGGAAATTGATAATCAAGGCAGTGCAATCCCTTCCGTGCATCCCCCTTCTCCAACATTGAAACTGGCAAGCTCAAGTTTTAAGAACTCTCTTTTACCTTTTCAATATCCAAAGGTAAATCCAGCTCGGGACGCGACTCTAGGATTTGGCGTCGACGAAATATCAACTAGATTCGTTGCTTTTTCGCGAGTTGGATTTCATCTAGTCATCTCTATTGAATTCGGTCCCGGTAATCGTACCAAAAAAACGGGCGACGCTTATCGGTGTCAATCTGTCGTCATCGATCGTAGAAAAGACAGTCCCAAAGTCTCAGCACGAGCCCACGAAATCCGTGAAGCCCAGTTTTTCAAGCCCCAGCCAGATTCGACGACGGCGGCACCTTTCCCATTTTATATAATTCTACTTATCTGATTCGGTCTTTCCACAATACCTACTCTTCCAAGATGTCTTGGGAACTTACTCGGCGTCGCATCACTCGCGCCGCTAATAGCAAATTCATCTTTGATCGCATTGTATGTTATCGCTATTCCCTTGCGACACCTATCTGCCTAGCCCTGCCCTTGCGGCTTCGATCATCGTCTGCATCAAAATAAATCATGACCGTCATCACGTTGCACCATACCCTAGAATATTGCCACTTATTTATTTAGTCGACTCTCGCACTTTGCTAATTTTACATTCTTATCGCCGTAGCCTCTACTTCATGCGGTTATATTCTTCATCGAGATGGCTATCATCGCGCGATTGGTATCGCGCTTCAACGCATATTACGATGAACGACCAGGTAAAGGCCTTGAACTCTACAGTGTTTCTGCAACACCAAACTGACATTGCTATTCCTAGTCCTAACCATGATGGTAACGAACGCCGTCCTCGGAGGCATCGCCGACACCGTAGCGCAGACCATCACATCCGTCCGAGAGCGAGCCCTGCGAAAGCCCGGTGGCGTCAGCAAAGACGACACAGTAGCCATCGAAATCCACGAGATCGACCGCAAGAACCCCTGGAACGAGCGAGACCTGATCCCCGACTCCAAGAGCCTACCGCCTCCCTTCGATTTCGAAAGACTGACGAGATTCATGGCGTACGGTTTCGGCATGGCCCCTCTGCAATACAAGTGGTTCAGCTTCCTCTCGCGAGCGTTTCCCATCACGAAGACGAGCGCTTTCGTTCCGGCGATGAAGCGTGTGGCGTTCGACCAGCTGATCTTCGCGCCGTTCGGTATCGGATGCTTCTTCACAGTCATGACCGTGGCGGAAGGGGGTGGCCGTAGGGCGGTCGCTCACAAGCTTAGGGACATGTACATTCCGACGTTGAAGGCCAACTTTATGGTGTGGCCCGCGGTGCAAATCATCAACTTCAGGTTGATGCCGGTTCAGTTCCAGCTGGTAAGTTTGGCTGTGGTGCATATGATGATATGGAGTTATATTTTGCTGATACTATGCTATAGCCATTTGTCTCTACTATTGGTATTGCCTGGACCGCGTATCTCTCCCTCACAAATGCCTCAGAAGATGCCGAGATGGCGAAACCCGCGCCGTACTCTCCCAACATCCGCCTCTAATAAATTTGTCGACCGCCTCATATGAGGTTTTCCGGGCTTTTACATTCCCTTATAGCATCGTTCCTTGAAAAAAACCAGTCGGCCGGCGTTATGGTGACAGCATGGTCTTTGCAGGCCGGTCAAGCAGGTCTAACATGATATAGGATGGCGTATTGTTTTTTGTGTGGTGGAAAATTCGGGGTCAGCAGCGGCTTGGTATAACACTGTACCTACCTAAATACAAGAAATCAGAAGTATTATCCGCATTCCGAGTCCCTACTATACTGAGGGTATTTACACAACTGAGGGTGAATGGATTGTATGATACGAATCATTGGTCAATTCATGATCGATAATACGTGCATGACAAAAATTCTACGGCATCGAATCATCAAGGCATCCATCTTCGTAACGAGATTTGATTCAACAATATTTTTGCCAAAGCCTACATACATAGTAGTGTGACAGGGGTGGGTTGACGATCATCTCACCACTTAGATGTTTATAGGGAACGGAGACGTGCGACTTGCTAGTCCCAGGGGCGGAAGTCTCCTATATTGACCGAGTGTCTATCTTCCACGTACCAACTCACTAAATTCTACGCTGTAGATACTTGACGTAGCGTGGTTTGGCTGCAGAAGCTGCAGAAGCAGTAGACGTCACCCCGTCGAAAGCTCTCGACCTCACCCCACCAAAACTTAGGGAGTCTTGGTAGAGCTATTACCCCTCCAGCCGGTCTGCCCCTCCATCCAGTAACAACCTAACCTAACGTTATCAACTGCGTGCTTTTCTCTTACCGGACATACCAAAACACAAAATATTGTCCTCAAATACCGCAACCTTCTTTTTATCTATCCGTCAATCTTCCTAAGAATCTCAAATCCAAGACCAACTAGCAATTGAACTTTCACATACGTCAAAATGTCTCTGTCGAGCAAGCTGTCCATCACCGATGTCGACCTGAAGGGCAAGAGAGTGCTCATCCGGGTAAGTCTTGATATGAAACACCATCTACTCAAGTTTCCGTTTGCAATATTCTACTGTCTACTACTATGCCATCATTTATATTACGCATATCTATCTACTCCGTAAACTAATAAGAGTTCCCCATGTAAAAGGTCGACTTCAACGTTCCCCTAGACGCTGACAAGAAGGTCACAAACAACCAACGTATCGCTGGTGCCGTCCCCACCATCAAGTACGCCATCGACCATGGCGCCAAGGCCGTCGTGTTGATGTCCCATCTGGGCCGTCCCGACGGAAAGGCCAACCCCAAGTACAGCCTGAAGCCCGTCGTCCCGGAGCTCGAGAAGCTATTGGGGAAGAGCGTCGAGTTCGCTCCTGACTGCGTCGGACCCGAGGTGGAGGCTATCGTGAACAAGGCAGACAACGGCCAGGTCATTCTGCTGGAGAACCTACGATTCCACGCCGAGGAAGAGGGTTCCTCCAAGGATGCCGAGGGCAAGAAGGTGAAGGCGGATAAGGCCAAGGTGGACGAGTTCCGCAAGGGCTTGACTGCTCTCGGTGACGTCTACATCAGTGAGTAATGCCCTATACTAGCAGCATTCATATACCCCTATATCAGAGCTAATAATTATCACCTAGACGATGCCTTTGGCACTGCCCACCGAGCACACTCCTCCATGGTCGGTGTCGACCTACCCCAGAAAGCCGCCGGTTTCCTCATGAAGAAGGAGCTCGACTACTTTGCCAAAGCTCTCGAGTCGCCCAAGCGGCCCTTCCTCGCCATCCTCGGCGGCGCTAAGGTGTCCGACAAGATCCAGCTGATCGACAACCTGCTGGACAAGGTGAACAGCATCGTGATCTGCGGCGGCATGGCCTTCACGTTCAAGAAGACGCTCGAGGGCGTCAGCATCGGCAACTCGCTCTTCGACGAGGCCGGGTCCAAGAACGTGGCCGCGCTGGTGGAGAAGGCCAAGAAGAACGGCGTCGAGGTGGTGCTGCCCGTGGACTACGTGACGGCGGACAAGTTCGACAAGGACGCCAACACGGGCACGGCCACGGACAAGGAGGGCATCCCCGACGGCTGGATGGGCCTCGACTGCGGGCCCGAGTCCATCAAGCTGTACCAGAAGGCCATCGACGCCGCGCAGACCATCCTCTGGAACGGCCCCGCGGGCGTCTTCGAGTTCGACAAGTTCGCCGCCGGCACCAAGGCCACGCTCGACGCCTTCACGGGCGCCGTCGCCCAGGGCAAGATCGGCATCATCGGCGGCGGCGACACCGCCACGGTGGCGGCCAAGTACGGCGCCGAGGACAAGTGCTCCCACGTCTCGACCGGCGGCGGCGCGTCCCTCGAGCTGCTCGAGGGCAAGGCGCTGCCCGGCGTCGTGGCGCTGAGCACCAAATGAGGACTGCCGTAGGGAAGGCGATGCTGCGTCTGCGAGTGCGCATCGGCTCTGCCGTCGGACTGGGCAGCGTACAGAAGGGAACGGTTTGGCTCGGGTTCCGAACTGTTAACTATGCTGTGGGATGTTGGCATGGTGCGGGTACTTAAATGGGCCGGGCGGTATCTATCCTCTTATTGCCTGCTTACATTAGGTATTGATGCGA